TTGATTCATTTTAATGCAAGTACTAGTTTCTGTTCTTCTACTATTTTCTATTTATTCTCTAAATCTGATAAGTCAGGCTAACTTTGATTTAGTCCAGGCCTTCATACTCACACGCTGGTGTATTGGGTGATGTAGTTGGCAATGCTGTAAAAAGTTGAAACAGAGGTTACTCATGAACTGTATCAGTTGTGTAGCTGTTGGTATTGGACGTTAAAACACTGCTCACCTTTTCTAACGGTCGCAATGACACATCGAAGCTCAGAGTGGTACTTGGCTGCTCTGTGAAAATAAATCAGTACAAGAGATTCTTTATCAAAATGCATTTTACATTATTTTTAATATAGATTTTTTTTAAAGGTTAAAAAAGTTAACCTGCAAGTAAAAAACCAAAAAAAAATGTTTTTCAGTTTGGTACAGTTTGATGGATTTGGATTGAAGTCAAAGAACATGAAAAAGCAGTGCCTTATGAATAGCTTTTAAAAAAAAATTAGCATCAGTAAGTTTACATGTAACTCTGCAAGTATAAAAAATAAAATCAAACTTATTTGTTGCACAATTATTTAATGCAGTCCCAACATCAAGTCTCCAAACCATTAAACGTTACTATCTTTGTTAGAAATGCTCTTCCAGTGAGGCAGGATTTCAGCAGGTAAAATGTGGGCTCAGTACCCTTCAACACTTAACAGTCATGATTTTATACTCAAAAGGACAAAGGCTTTAAGTATTTTTCTTATCAGACACTAACAAAATAGTGTGCACCAAATAATGAATCAGCTATGAAAGGAAAGATAACATGTGTATGCCTTTACAAGGAGAGACTTGTATGTTGCTGTGGACTTGGTATTTTATTAGTTTGGACAGATTGAAAAAACTTAGGTTTTTAGCATTAAATTATAGTTAGTTGCAGTTAGTTATAGTTATAAGTTGGCACATTAACCTATGTTGCATTTAGTATTTACAGGTTCAAATGTGGAAACTGACTTGGCCAGTCTTCCTGTTCTTATCACAAATACAGTAAAAAGCTTTGTTTGCAGCTGGACCGTATACTGTGTTTGGACTCACTGTGTTGCTCTTCTTTCTCTTTCTTCTCATTGTTTTACTTACTGAGGCAGTTCTTGTTTTAAAAACCATTGCTGTTTTTATCTGTTTCTGCTCTTCTTTCAACTATCAAGTTGATCTTGTCACACCCATTCAGGTATGTCTCTGTTGTTATGGAGTAATTCCTCAAAGGTATTTGACACACCCATGTCTACTGTCTTCAATGAATTTTGGTTTCTTTTCTAAGTCTGCCTTCCAGTTGTTTTGATACTATAATTAAAATGCCTGCGTCTGAAAAATTTACAGGAATGAAGGTTGGACGCATTTTATGAGTGAATATAAAAGCAAAATTAAAAAGTGCAGGCAATGAACTAAGCCAGTCAGTCCTCAAAGTTAAATAGTTTCATTGGAACAGAAGTAGACTCAAATGTATGTGCAAATTACATGTGCTCCATTTCACTTTGTTTTAATGAAAGTTTCAATAAACTTTAGTGTAGGATCGTATTCATGAAACAGGATACTGACCCTAAAACTGCTTGGACAACAAAACAAATGGGGTG